GGGGCAGTGAATCTGCACCGAGGCGGGGAGCTTGTCAACGGTGGCAGGGAACATGGGATGGACTTTGTGGGAGAGATAGGGGTTCCGACTCATGCAGCAGGTCATGTGATTGATCTCACCTTCTCCAATGTGGCCTTTGCTTCCACTACAGTGCGTCAAGATCTACACTGCGGCTCAGATCATCAGTCTATGATCACTATGCTGCCAACAACACCTCAAACACAGCTGAGTGATGCTCGGATCAAGATCACAGACTCTCAGCTGGAGCCCTTTGCAGATCTTGTCAGAGGTCTCATGGTGGACATGCCTTGCCCAGAGGGGGTTGGAAATGTGGCACAGCTTGATGATCTGGCCCAGCACTTCACTCAGAGTCTTCTGGCTGCAGCTCAGGCAGTCAGTAAGCCAGCTCAACAAGGGCGGACCACAGCCCCCTGGTGGACAGCAGACTGCCGAAGAGCGCACCGAGAGCTCACCACTCATCAGACAGAGGCCGCGAAGCACCAGTTCAAGGATGCAGTGCGCAAGGCCAAGCGTGCATACTGGAGGCAGGTGATCAATGAGGCCAGAGATGGTAGAGACCTGTACCGGGTGGTGGCATGGCATAAGCTGGAACCCAACCTCAGAGCACCCCCTCTGGTGATTGGGGATCAGGTCATAGAAGAGACAGCCGCCAAAGCTGAGGCACTTCAACAAGCAATTCTGAAGCGATACAACTCAGCTGATGATCTGGAGTACAACCCACTGGATGATGAGCACTGGAGCGGCATGGGGAACCTGCCCTGGAACCCCCGGGTTGGGATGGAGGAGGTGGAGCGCAACACCATTGGGGTACAGAGCACCTCCCCAGGCACGGATGGAATCACAGTGCGGATGCTCAAAGCATGCTGGCAGCATGTGTCCCTCTTTATACAGCAGCTATACAACTGCTGCCTCCGGCTCTGCCACTTCCCACGAGCCTGGAAACTGGCAGAGGTGGCAATGATACCCAAGGTGGGTAAGAGAGATAGAAGCTCAGTCCGCTCCTGGAGGCCCATTGCC